AAGGGCCCGTGTCAGCTGTGTGGAACAGGAAAGCGGGTGCCGTCTTCAGAAGATGAGGGCATTTGGCCACCATGGTGGGAGGGTGCCCACATGGCCGACGCAGAGTGGGGTGAGTGATGATGTGGGGTGGGGCCCCCAGGGGGATGCCACTGTGCAGAGGGAGGTCCAAGGGCCAGGCAGAGCGTCTCCTCAGACCTGACTCCCAAATCACCGAGACCTGACTGTGCCATTTCCATCCTCCTCAGCAGGGGTCCTCCCTACTTACCCTCCACCCCGTAGGGCTGGCTCAGACCCCCTTCCCACCTTCCCAGCCCAAGCAGCCCAACCCCCGCATCCCCCCACGCACTGGCGGCACGGCCACAGGAATTCACAGTGAAGTAGTTTCAAAGTGATGGTGATCGACAGGTGACAGAACATTCCAGAACATCATGTATATCCTCACAACACCCCTGTGAGGTAGGGTGACTAACACTGGCACAGAGGGAGAGATGAGGCCCAGCAGGTGAAGGGCCTTGCCCCAGGGCGTCCCCTGGGCACAAGAAGGGCTGCACCCCTCTCTGTCTGGCAGGTCCGCTGGCTCCTGGTCTGGAGGTGGTGCTCGGCGGGCCAAGGTGACGGGTGCGATTTCTGTGTGAGACAATTCCATTTGCCATGTCCCTCACTCACAGATGGCACCCCTCACCTTGAGCCCAACTTCCCAGGCTTGGGGGCGCTGGTCCGGTGCCATCCTGGTCTGTGGACGATGGTGGGTGGTGGGCGAGGCCTGCAGTGGAGGTAGGGCCGGCTGGCGAGCGCATCTACCCACCAGATGACCACGAGGGCAGGGTCCGGCAGACGCCAGGGCGGGAAAGCCAGCTGCCTGCCCTCGAGGGCTCACAGTCTAGCCCACGTGAGAGGCTGCGCATGCAGCGGAGGGACCTGGAAGGCGGCGGCAGAGCACCTGGGCTGCCGAGGGGCACGCGTCCTGGGTGCGGCTCAGCACTAAGTGCACGGGGATGTATGTGCGGCAGGAGCCAGGCCACGGGTGGTTGGGGCGCTGATGGGACAATACAGAAAGGCCGTGTTGGAAGCACCTGCAGGGAGTTCAGACGGAGTGAGGAGGAGCCTGACTGCAGGGTCCTGCTGCCATAGTTCAGGGAGAGACATGAACACACAGACTGAGGTGGCCCAGGCAGGCACTGACTGTCAAGGAGGCACGGGGGTGGGGTTCAGTCACCCCTTCACCAGATGAACTGTCCAGCGCGATCCCAACATAGATCCCAACACTCTGCCCGGGCAGAGTGTCCTGCGAGACCCTGGGTCTGGGGCTGCTTGCTCAGCCCTCTGAGGATGCCTCAAGAGCCCCCACGTTGGGCAGGGTGCTGGTTCTGAGGGTCCAGACACAAACAGCACTTGTTCCCCATGGTCCGGGCCACAGGCTCAGCAGTGCTGGGGTCCAACACGGGCCGGGAAGGCTGCCTCTGAGCAGCCACGTCCGGAAAGGGAGGCGGGCCGGGGAGACAGCAGCCTGGCGCCCTGGCCCCTGAGCCTGGCCGCAGAGGCGATGGGGACGGTCCGTCGGGCATGCAGGCTGTGGCCACCAGGGGGCAGTCAGGAGGGAGGAGGGGCAGGGGGAGCCTGGAGCAGGTCTCCCCAGGTGGGGACGCTGCTGGCTCGGCTTCCTTGCTGTACCTCCGGGAAAGCGCGGGGGGCCCAGAGCAGGAGGGAGGTGGAGACTGAGCATTTCTTTTCCTTCAGGGGAGAAAGGCGGATAATATTCAACAGGAAGGTTTACAAGAAGCAAACTTCAGCCCTAATCATGGCCTAACCCCCATGGTGGAACGGTGCTCCAGGCGCCGTTGGTGAGGATATGTCACAAAGATGGGGGCAACATGCTCCAGCACCAGGGGCGCCTCCCTGGCATGGGCCATGACCATGGCAGGAAGGACATGCCAGTGGAAATCAGTGGTGGCAGGAGCTTCATTCACCCTGCATGCCTTTGCTAGGTACCACTAGGTATGATAGATCAAGTGGGGCTGGCCTGGTTGTGTGGGGGTGAGGGTCCTGGCATAGCTCAGTGAGTCTGGATTCCCTTAAAAGAACCAGCTGGAAATTCACTGCATTCAACCCAGAACCCACAAGCCAACTTGCCCGTGACCCCGCCTGTCCCCACACAGGGCTTCAGCATCCGCAGGCCTCCCGCAGGTTGGACAGGATGCCTGGCTCCCACATGGGGTGTGGGTGAGCGCACACCTCTCTGTGCCAGGCCACCTGCTGGGAAGGGTGGATGGAGCCCCACCCTGCACTGCAGGGTGGACACACCAGCTACAAGGCTGGGAGACTCAGGAGAAGGCTGAGGAGAGCCTCAGCAAGACCCAAACTGAGGAGTCTCGGAAAAGCTCAGGCTGGAAGCCCTGGCCCGGCCCAGCACAAGCATGTGGCAGGCCGACGGGGAGGAAGGGGAAGCGGGCATTCTTGAGGTGCCAGGCAGCACTCCAGGTCCTTGAATCCTCTGCACTACAGGGTTTATTACCTCAAGGCCACAGGCAGCAGAGCAAGGTGTAAGGTGTAGATGCCCCCAAACAAACACTGTTTTCACTGCTGCAACCTGCTTCCTACCAGCGAGGGTGGGCTTGCCCCTGGCACAGGGGCTCACTACCAGGCAGGAGAGGCGTCCGTGCAGCTGGTGGGCAGAGTCGGGGAGAGGGGCTGTGTGCTCACGGTATGAACCCTAACAGGCTGAACTGCCCAGAGCAGAAATGGGGGTCCAGGTGGCATGGGCCCCTGATGCTACAGCAAGGAACCAGCCACAGAGATGGGGGATCCTGTGGATAGATGCTGGAAACAGATCGAGTAAACAAGTGCAAGAAACCAGACACGAATGTATACCCTGTCTGAGTCCATTTATATGACGTGCTGTCATAAAGGCTGACATCAGAGTGGTCCCGGGGCAGGGGCCAGGATGTGGACAGACGTACGCATAAGCTCATCCAGCTGCACATGCGCAGGGGTGCAAGGTCCTGGGGTGGCTGCCCTCAGGGGGAGAAAGAGCTGATGCTCAGTGGGCCCCAGCTCCTCCACAAGGCCAGGCCACAGAGGCCCCGCCCACAGCACCCAGCCCCTCCAAGACCACCCTCCGCCCTCGCCTGGCAGAAACCACGCCCCTCTGAGACCACGCCCACCAAGGCCACGCCCAGGCAAGCTGCTCAGGCCCCTGACCCGAAGCACACACTGAGCCCACCTGGAAGCTAACTGGTGCCCCCAGCCCCCAAGCCTGGGTTCTGAGTTTGAGAGGCGGTTACACACCTATAAGTCATTTCCTCGCCACGTCATAGCTCCAAGCTGAGATGAGGCTGGATTAAATGGCTGACTTGTGATTCTGTGGGGATGTAATACAAGCGTTGCCTGCTAAGGCGGTGTTCTGACCAACTTAGCGCCTTTTTTGCCCCATTCAGGCGTCTTGGACGCACACTCTGACTCTCGCACCTGGGCAGGTGCCGGGTCCTAAGCTCGAGGCTCTGGGGGAAGAGGATTTGAGAAACTCTTGCTGGAAAGGATGTTCCAGGCCCTGTGTTAGTCACGCAGTCCCCCGGCCTCCGGAAGCTTCCCCAGCCCCATCCTGGTCCTCTGCAGGGCACCCCAGACTGTGGTGCCTTCACTGGGGGCACGGCCTCTGCCTAGACCCTTCCTGTAAACCCGTGGGCTGTATAGAAGCAGGTTCTTAAAGAATTTTCCTGTGCTTAGACTGAGTCCCAGAGCGCCAGCACACCAGGCCCGACAGATTCTTAAAAGAGTGTCCTGCAGGTTCTAAGTGCCCCCCCACGCCCGTGTCCCCCACGCCCCCTGACTCTGGTAGTGGCAGCAGCGACGGCAAAGTGCTCGAAGGGCTGAGCTGGGCGACGAGCACATGTGCACTGCCCACTACGTTTCACACTCTCGCTCCTTCACGTGTGAGAATACATCCCCGTTTTAAGGCAGGAGAAGGAAGCGCAGAGCATGGGCCCGCCCAGTGCTCTCAGGCCTAATGTGACAGAACCAGACACAAACCCAGCAGCGCACCCCCAATCCTGGGCTGCCAAGCAGGACCTGCAGCAAACCCTAGGGCCACCCCCAGGCCTGCGAGGCTCCAGGCCCCGAAGCCTCACCCTCCCTCTGAAGCTGAAGCTGCAAAATCCAGAGGAAGTCACACGTATTTCTGCTTCTTGGCCACCACGGCCCTGCTTGGAGGCCGGCCAGCACCAACCACCCCCCACCCCCCAGTCGCCAGCAGGAGTCCAGCCCACCCAGAGTATTCTAGGTCTTTGGGGTCTTTCACGATGCAGTGCCCAGGCATGAACCTGAGCCTGCCCCCCTTCCTCCCCAGCCTTCTTCCTCTGCACCGTCAGCCGACGCCGTCCCTGCAGGCGCCCAGCTTTGTGCCCATGTGCCTGGTGGCTGCTGGTCCTGCCCCCGCTGCCGCCACAGCCTCAGCTTTCAAAACCCAGATCAAGTGTCACCACCGCTGTCGGGGCCGCCTCAGCCGCCCGGTGGGAGAAACTCATTTCTCCCACTCCCTCCATGCCCTGCTCACACCCCTGTTACAGCACAAAACACAATCACCACCGCTTGCCGGTCTGCCCATGAGAGGCCAGGAGGGCCAGGAGGAGCTGACTGCAGCGCCTCATCTCACGTTCTGCCCTGCTGATGTCTCGCTTAGAGGGAAATATTTAGTAAAACTTTACTTAATACAGGAGCAAATGACTTAGTTTAGGGATGAACAGCCGCCCGCCCCCACCCATCGCTGGTGAAGGCTCTGGAACGCGGGAGCAGGGTGGAGCGTGCCCAGCAGGCCCGTGGGGTGCGTCGGCAGACAGCTGCCTCCTAATGGCGGCAGACGCAATGCCCTTCTCTCCTCCTCGACCGCATAGTCTCCACTCGAGAGTCGGGGTGGCTGCCCTGAGCTGGGCGCTGGCGGTACGGGCCCCAGAGAGCACAGCCACGGGGCAGGGGGACAGACAGGCCGGCCCCTGCAGCCCACTTACCTCCTTCTTGGGAATTCATGATGTTCAGGGCAAACAGCATGGCGTTGGAGAAGGTGGTCGCCTCTTCCTTGCTCGCGAAGTTCAGGCCATAGACCTGGCGGGCATCTCGCCACTGGTGGAAGGTTGGCGTCGCCTGGTTGTACTTCAGCCCTTTCACGATTGAATAATTGATCACAACCTGAGGGGAAAAGAGAGCGAAACGCTGTAAATAAATAAAAGGAAAGTGAGCTGGAGGGAGCCGCTGGGGCATCGTGTCCCCTGGGCCAGAGGACAGGGGCAGGGAGAGAGGTGGAGGGATAATGCCCAGGAAGCTCTTCAGTCCCACCTCGCGGGTGGCCAGGTCTGGGCACAGCTATTTCACCAAACTCGGAAGGCTGTGCAGGCTGGAGCTCTATGGAGGGGCCTGAGCCGGTGTCAGCTCCCCTGGGCCTGCTCCTGGCCCTGCCTTCTTGAAGTCACCTGTGGTGCTCACTGCATTCCCTGGGGCTCAGTTCCTCCTGCCCTGAGGTGGGGCAAGAACCCAGACTTTACTGCCCTGCTAGGCCACAGCGAGACCTTTATCTTTGCTGAACTTCCAGGTATAAAAGTCCTCAGGGCCCAGAGCCTTTGCTCACCCTCATTTATGTCTCTCACACCCTCGCAGAGGGCCTGGGACTTAGAATGCATGAATGGGTTATCATTTAAAAGTATCACTCAGACACTTTATCCCATACAGCCGCATCTGGATTGTTATCATGAATGCGCCAGGAAAGCCACTGGCCACCAGGAACCCCGCGAGGCCTGGCAGGGACAGGCCGAGAGGGGTCGGAGGGCTCAGAGTCCAGGCGCTCACAGGCCGTCAGGCCCCATGCCTGACGAGCTGCTACCCTGCTCTTTCCGACATCGAAGGGAGGATGACGTCAAAGCTCAATTGACACCCGGTAGGCGGGGCTCCGGGAGGGCAGTGGGGGCCGGAGCCATTATTCTGTCCTTTCTGCTTAGAGCCACATGACTGAGCACCCTGGCACCAGGCAAGCTCTGGTCTGCACGATGGGCCACGTGCCCTCAATGAGGCCCACCACACACCGGAGCCCCCACGGCTGCCAGCCCGTGCCAGGGCTACACCAAGCTGAAATCTTCTTCAGGGTCGTAACTACGCCGTATTCTTAGTTCTGTTCTCGGGGTACACCGGAAGAGTGAGACTTCTCCCCACATGTGGCCTTCAGAGGTTTGAAACAGCGGCTCTGTCTTTTCAGTCTCTCCCTCTTTGTCCCTCAACCTGTCTCCCCCTTCGGCCACCACACACCTCGCACTGGTTGGGGCGCCCTCCCCTTACAGATTCCAGTTTGGGGCACTGAGGTTGGGCCCAGACATTCTGGGGGAAGCCTGACCAGCAGGATTAGGACCCCCCTCCCAAACCACTACTGTTGCTTCAGCCTGAGGCGTGACGAATGTTTCGGTGGTCATAACTCATTCGACCAAAGATCTTGTGGTTTTTCACCCTCAATCTGAGATTCAGGCCGGTCCTTAGTCACCAATACTGGTCACCAATACTGCCCCCTACTGGCCCTTTTCTCCACCAATGAGCACCTGGTTTTCTCCACCTAGTTAGCAAAATGGGTGATGATTCTCTTATATCCTTATGGGGCAACTGGGAGCTGAAGGAACAGAGGTGAAAAGTACCTCACGGAAGGTGTCCTCCACGTGCTCACACCTTGGCCAGGTCTGGGCACAGCGGAAGGCAGGCCTCCCTGATGTCTCCGGGCCTGCTCCTGGCCCTGCCTTCTTGAAGTCACCTGTGGTGCTCACTGCATTCCCTGGGGCTCAGTTCCTCCTGCCCTGAGGTGGGGCAAGAACCCAGACTTTACTGCCCTGCTAGGCCACAGCGAGACCTTTATCTTTGCTGAACTTCCAGGTATAAAAGTCCTCAGGGCCCAGAGCCTTTGCTCACCCTCATTTATGTCTCTCACACCCTCGCAGAGGGCCTGGGACAGAATGCATGAATGGGTTATCAGTATCACTCAGACACTTTATCCCATACAGCCGCATCTGGATTGTTATCATGAATGCGCCAGGAAAGCCACTGGCCACCAGGAACCCCGCTAGGCCTGGCAGGGACAGGCCGAGAGGGTCGGAGGGCTCAGAGTCCAGGCGCTCACAGGCCGTCAGGCCCCATGCCTGACGAGCTGCTACCCTGCTCTTTCCGACATCGAAGGGAGGATGACGTCAAAGCTCAATTGACACCCGGTAGGCGGGGCTCCGGGAGGGCAGTGGGGGCCGGAGCCATTATTCTGTCCTTTCTGCTTAGAGCCACATGACTGAGCACCCTGGCACCAGGCAAGCTCTGGTCTGCACGATGGGCCACGTGCCCTCAATGAGGCCCACCACACACCGGAGCCCCCACGGCTGCCAGCCCGTGCCAGGGCTACACCAAGCTGAAATCTTCTTCAGGGTCGTAACTACGCCGTATTCTTAGTTCTGTTCTCGGGGTACACCGGAAGAGTGAGACTTCTCCCCACATGTGGCCTTCAGAGGTTTGAAACAGCGGCTCTGTCTTTTCAGTCTCTCCCTCTTTGTCCCTCAACCTGTCTCCCCCTTCGGCCACCACACACCTCGCACTGGTTGGGGCGCCCTCCCCTTACAGATTCCAGTTTGGGGCACTGAGGTTGGGCCCAGACATTCTGGGGGAAGCCTGACCAGCAGGATTAGGACCCCCCTCCCAAACCACTACTGTTGCTTCAGCCTGAGGCGTGACGAATGTTTCGGTGGTCATAACTCATTCGACCAAAGATCTTGTGGTTTTTCACCCTCAATCTGAGATTCAGGCCGGTCCTTAGTCACCAATACTGGTCACCAATACTGCCCCCTACTGGCCCTTTTCTCCACCAATGAGCACCTGGTTTTCTCCACCTAGTTAGCAAAATGGGTGATGATTCTCTTATATCCTTATGGGGCAACTGGGAGCTGAAGGAACAGAGGTGAAAAGTACCTCACGGAAGGTGTCCTCCACGTGCTCACAGACCCAGGCAGGCCTGTCTCTTAAAGTATCTGACCTTGTGGGCTATAAAGGAAACGGCTGTGAAATCCGTCTTTTCCCTTGTGGTCCACGAGAGTCATTACGGGCCCGGCGTCCTGGTGCCTTCTCCAGTGCCTCTGTGTATCAGGAATCTCTTTCTGCTCCCGGCTAACATGCCTGCCCACGTTGGGGAGAGATTCAAGCACATTCTAGGGCCTCCCTCTTGAACACGCAATTCCAAGTGGAAGGCTGTGCTGGCAGCTTCTTTGCCAGGACCTAGACCCCAGGATTTATCACCAAGGTTCTCCCTGCAGTGCTCCCTGCTGCAGTCCTCCCTGTGGGAAACCCCACATGTGGCTTCCTTGGAAGGCAGCAGTGGGGCACAGAGCTCCATGTTGGTCCCAGGGAGTCTCCCACCTGTGCCAGCTGTCCTCTTCCTGTGCCCTGGAGGGCCCCCAAGGGGCCCCTAAGTGGGCACTTAGGGGCTTCACTTAGGGAGCCTACTGTGGTTCAGCAACTGCACTGGCCACGGAGCTTCTGTCAAAGGAGTATCGGGCACTGCTCCCCCAGCCCACTCTCGGTGTGATGTGAGCGTGTCGTCACTGTGATTGGTGCAGAGTGTTATATGTCCCTCCTCCAAAAGGCAGAGCCAGACCAGCAAATTGCAAGACTAGAGAAGCAACTTCTAGGAAGTTTCTAGAAAAACTGTCAACCATTAAGGCCCATCAACAAGGGGAGGAGATACCCCTGCAGGTGTAAGAGTTTAAGGACGGACAGACTGCGTGTTATCAGGGGCCCTGAAGTGGAAGCGTCCTTTTGGCTGCAAGTATCAGAAACTCAGTAGGGCTCTATTAAGATGGAGACCCATTCAGCAGACAATACACTAAAAATAGAGTCTGGAGTTTCCGTTCTCTTTTCTAGGTGCTCACGTGCTGATTCTTTTTTTTTTTTTTTAAATTTATTTATTTATGCATACAAGAGCTAGGGTACAGGCCAGAGGTGTGGGAGGTGAGAGGATTCACCAGAGACAGAGTGGGGAGCAGAATATGCAGATGTACTGAAATCCACTGCTGAGGGGAGCAGAGGGGAGACAGGAGGGTTCTGCTGTGCCCTGTGGGTCAACTCCCTGGTCGGGGATCGAATTTGTGCTGCAGTGGCTGCGGATAGCTTCCTAGTGCTGAGACTTAACACCCTGCCCCACCGGGGAGGTCCCTCACATGCTGATTCTTACAGGGATAGCAGCTAACTTGCCGCTCAGCTTAGCCCTGCCTTGACCAAAGGGGCTGCCAGAAGAGGCTACTTCAGCAGAGTTTTCATAAATCCTGAGACTATGGATCTGCAGGCTTTGCTGCTTAGGAGGCCCTGTCAACCTCTGAGAGCTAAGGGGGTATGTCCAAAATTGACCAGGGCCACCTGTGGCTGCTCCCTCCACCCATGCCATGCCAGGCCACAGCACCCCAGGGACGTGACCATTCCTGCCAGAGTGCATGCATGTTGCGCTGGCACAGGTGCTTACCTGCGATGCCCACACTATCTTATCTGCCTGCCCAGGATGTACTGTGAGCTAAGTGCCCTGGTCTTCAACCCCCTTGACAGTCCTTCCAGAGTAAGAATCGGGGAGCTGAGCAATCAAGCCTCTTTCGTGCCTACCATGAGTCTGCAGGCAGAGAAGAAACTAACACATCCCTCTAAGACACTGCTCAGAGCTGTTTCACATCTACCATATGAGCACATCCCCCCGGGGGCGGCGTGGACACTGTGTTGGATGGGAGGGAGGGAGCTCAGAAAAGAGTTGGCTCAGGGGGCCTCCCCGGGAGCCAGAATTTGAACTCTCATCTTTGGACTCCAAATCTACCTGGGCTCCACCTGCTCCCCAGCACTCACCTGCTGGTCCTGAAGCTTCACGCCCACGACCCGGAAGGTGCTGCTGGCAGTGTTGTGGTAGATGTTGACGCGGCTGAATCCCTGTTGGCCCGGTTTGATGGGCACCCACTTCTTACTGGTGTCATCGTAGACCATCACGGAAGCCCGGGCTTGGCAGATACTCTGTTCACTGCAGAGCAAGAGAAAACCCGAGCGTCAGCCCCTAGCAGCCAACAAGATGCCCACCTTACGGCATTCAGCCGGGCAGCACTGGCCATCATGTGGATGATAAGATCCCGCTCCTGTAGACTAGAGCAATCGAAACCGAAAGATCTGGCTATATCCTGTCTCGCTGAGGACGTTTACCAGATAACTTCTCTGGCCAGAGAGTATGGGGGACACGAGACAGCCCCGGAGAGACAGCAGTCCTCACTCAAATCAGCGCAGTCTTCAGAGGGTGTCTGGGGTCCCGCCCCTTCATTTCCGAGCAGCTCAGTCCATCCTGACCTGTGACGGCTGCAGTCTCCAGCATAGTGGAACCCCCAAGTAGCACGAATCGTCGCCAGAAGGCACCCCACAACGAGAGGAGAGGTGGGTGTTGAAGAGGAGGCCACAGAAACACAATGGAAGAATCAAATAAAACACAAAGCCCAGCAACCTGGCCAGCGGATGGAGAAGCGACACGTGCCGGACGCCGCTGGTCACAGAGCGTCCAGGCAGCCGAGAAGCAGCTGTGTCACGCTCGCTTCCCGAGTTTAAAGGGCAGAGAGGCGAGGGCCTCGTCAGCGCCGTGTTAGTCTCATAAAAGGTAGAGAAACAAGACATTTGACAAGATCCCTGCCCCAGCCCCAGAGATTGCTAGGTGAGAAAGCTGGCCCCTGTGAGATTAGCCCTCAGTGACGTGAAACCTCAGCTGGGTGAGGTTGTCCCTTCCCACAGGTTACAGGGGCGCAGCTCCAGGTCCCCATTCCCCAGAGATTATAGGCCATCCAGTGTGTAGCCACAATGTGAACAATAACTGTGTTGGCAGTGTTGAGGACCAGCCTTTTCATACCAACTCCTCACTTCACTTCAGGTGAGTCCTCACGCACATCACAATTGTCCAGCTGACGACATGGGCCCGGCGCTAGCATCAGACCCACCCGGCGCCTACTCTGCCCCCTCGGCCTGGCTGCTGAGCCCTCAGCTCCACTCTCCAGGGCACCTGTGGCCAGCCATTCACGCCTGGTGCTGAGGGCTCTGTCCATGGACTGTGGTACTGGGAGGGAATGAAAGAGTTTTTGGCAGAGTTCTGCTGCATTTCCTCTGATGATCTGTCATTCATTCAACAAACATTTAAGGGAAAATCAGTGATAAAGCAAGCCTGGTTCTTTCCAGAAAAAGAGTAAAACTAAACAACACTCTGCTATACTTTTTGAGTTTTCTTTTATGAGCATATGTTTAGGAAGAGTGCTTCTCCCTGAGCTGCCTTTGGGGCCTGGAAATTAGAGTAAATGGTACCCCTAATCAGGCTTTGGTTTAAATCATGGTCCCACAAATCCAGCTCTGGGGGAAGTTGTGCCACTTTCTGCTGCTGACCAGTCAGGGAGACCCTGAAACACAGCATGTGCTAGTTAATGAAACAGGAACTTTGCTACGTTAGCAGGATCTGCGCACCCAACCCAGCTCCACCACCTGTTGGGTGTGACCACAGAAGCAGGGAGAGGATCCAGGCAGGGCCGTGCTTGCTGGAACCCTGTGTCGGCCATGGTGCTCCCCCTCCCCCTCACCAAGGAGTCTGTGAAGGGGGCAGAGCAGAGCGCCCACCGGCCTGGCTGAGGCTCTGGATACCTGTGCATGTGCAGGGAGCCAGGCTTTTCCAGGTCGCTCCCCACAAAGGCTGCACACACCAGGAAGCCCGTGTCTGACCACTCCTGCCCGGCGAGAGGGCTGCTCAAGGGGGTGACCCAGCTTGGGCCTCTGCATCAGTGGGGCTCAAACTTTCCTGGCTCCGCTGCGGGCTGCGCCACTCCCTGCCACTCTACTGTCACAGCAGTCAGACCCCTCATGCCGAGGCTGTCCCTCTGCCCGTCCCTTTGTCCTTAGGTCCCCACACCTCCTGCATCCACAGGGTCTGGGCTCTGCTTGGAAGACCCGAAGTGACTGGCCCTGTTCCGGGGCAGGCTCCCAGGGCCGGGGCCTGCCGGTCTCATGCTCCACTGTGCCTCCAGAACCTGGCACACAGCACGTGCCTAATAAGGGCTCACAGTGGAACCTCAGGGCCAAAGAGGACCCTGGAGATGACCTGAGCCCTCCAGGTCAGCAGGGCATAGCCTGTGAAGCAACATACGTGCATGCTGAGCCCTGAAGGATGGTCCTGCCTGCGTGAGTGTGCAAGCGTGCGTGCACCCCTCTCCAGGCACCCCATCCTGCTGCGAAATGTCACCAAGGTTAGCTTGCCCCCTTGTTCTGAGTGGTGTTCCGTTCACTGTCCCCCAGGGGGAGCCTGTGACCCACAGATGGAGCAGCGAAGGTCCGTCATGCAGGTCACAGACCCGCACCCCTGCCCTCTGGCCATGCTCTGGCCCCAGTGCGTCCCTCATAACTGGGTGTTCACTTCGGAGGGCAGTGGTGAGGGTGACAGGCTCTGACCTCCGCACACTTGGTGGGAGGAAACAAGACCTGGGGGGCTGGGGACCCAGGGAGCCTGAGACAATGGTGCACCCCAGCATTCAGGAAGGGGGTTGGGGTGTGGGCTAGAGGCCAGAAGAGCTGGTGTGCAAAGAACCGCAAGCCCTCGTGGGGTCCCAGCGTCCCGGGGTGGCACATGCCTCCCAGGGGCTTGTGTGGAGCAGTCATGAAGCCCCCCCAGGAAGGCCTGAACCCCAGCAGCTAGTTTTCTTGTAAATAAGGCCACAGGTTCCTTTTTATGGTGGTTGTCTATAACACTTCAGGTTCAAATTAAACAGTGGCTAACCAAAAAACCCTGGCTGTTTTGGGCCCCCCGCCAACTGCTCGTTGGTCTCTGCTTAGTTTGTGACTCCCCACAAAATCTAGATGCAAGAAAATACGCGTGTAATCCACTGCAGCGTGGTCTTGCTGATGACCCCTTAGGGCTGATTCTGTAGGGATGGCCTCGGTGGCCTCCAGCCTGGACACGCCCTGAGTTCCAAATGCTCACCTGCTGCCCCACAGCTCGCAGGGTGCATGGCGTCCCAGGACCCAACCCCTGGCATCACCCGTTCAACGTTGAGACCAAAGAGAGTCAGTTTGATAGATGTTAAATATTTTCTTTTCAAAACCACCATTTCTTGGATTTTCTTTCATTTATTGAATGAACTACTTAAAAAAAAAATGAACATGCAAAATTCCTTTTACTAAATTGAAAAAGTCGCTGCCTACGTCCCCCCAACAGAACCTTCCAGTTAGTGTCTGCGCACACACAGCCTTCGCCCCAAGCCCTGTGAAGCTGCAGAGGAAGGTTGGCGATTCTCAGGGAGCCCACGTCTTGGTGAGCTGCCTTTAAAGATCCCAACGACCGGCTGATTGAAGCCCCCCCTCCCCCCAGGGCCTCTGGGCAGCTGGAAGGGCCCTCTTGGCCCTAGGCCTCACCCTGGCCAGTGTGCCCACATGATGTCCCGGAACCCTGGGAATCCTGAGAACCAGGCGCTGGCTTTAATCAACACGCAAATTCCCAGGCGCCTGGCAGGGCAGGTCACACCTTCCAGCTGATTCTGACGCAAGTGGCCCACAAAGTGAACCAAGAGCCCCTGCATGTCTGGGTCAGCCCTGCCCTACCCTGAGCTCACCTGTCCTGGTCTTCTTTCACAGCGAAGGATCCCACCACAGCCTCCGCATGCGGGAGGCCCACACTCAGAAGCTTGAGACAGAAGCGCCTGCTCTCCGTCTCGGCAGCGACAGCCACACCTGCCCAGTCCCTGGCTCTGGAAACCAGAAGTCACCTCTGCTCTACTTCCACAGCCCTCACCTGGCTGGTCCTTCCTCTCTCTCCCTGTGGCTGAGCCTCCCAGCCCTTGTCTTTTCTCCTTGAAACCTTCACCCCTTACTTCTGGGTTCACCCCTCATGCTCCCTGACTCCCCAGGTTCACCAGAAAGACTCTTGGTGCAGGCGGCTCTGGCTAAGCCTCCTTCCAGGGGAGCCTGGCCGTGCACTTGCTCACACCAGTGCCTGACCTGCCTCTTGGGCTCTCCTGGCATCTCTCCTTGGCTGCCTTGGGGCTGTTCACAGACTCAGCGCCTGCCAGCACCTGGAGCAGCACTGTGCCTGTGGCCGAGGTGTCTAACAGCCCTACTCTCTGCCTTTCTGCTCCAGCCCATGCTGTTCCCCAGCCTGGGTTGCTTTTCCCAGCAGAGCTGACCACTAACTCCTCACCCCAGACTGAAGACCCGTGACTTCCTGCGGGCAGCCCTAGCTGTAGGCTGGCAGGTGCTCCTCCTTTGAAGCGGCACCTCCCAGAGCGGCCCCCAGCAAGGACCGGCTTTCCTGCGGGTGGTCACCCTTGGAGGCCACTCTGTCTCTGGAGTGCCAAGGCTGGTTCTTTCTTGGTTGCGGGAACCCCTCCTTGCTCTCCCAGACAGACATGCCTGCCCGGCACAGGCTGTGAGAATGAGGCCTGTGTGCCCGGCCTCTGTGGGGTGCTGAGGGGACCCCACACCTGGGGGCAGGGCCAGCATATGGGTCCACTCCCTTGCCAGGCTCCATCCTCCCTGCAGCCCCTTGCCCCACAGGTGGGTGGGACTCGCAGGTCCGACCTGTGTGCCTTCAAGCGCACCCCTTCAGGGGGTGGTCACAGTATACTCTCCAATATCCATTAAGGACTGGTCTGAAGTCTCCCCGGGAGTGAGATAGCCCTTGCTGCCTAAACCCTGTCTTCCTCCTCTTTCTCTGGAGACCTTTTTCTCAGGGTCCCACTCACCCACTCGTCCCACCGCCTCCCAAGCACCCAGGCCTCAGAGCCCGGGCCTCGCCCCACTGCAGCTTGCGCTCGCTCCCAGCGTGACGGACGTGGCCTGGCCCTGAAGCTTTCCCTAGGCTCTCATGGGGCCTGGGTTCTTTTCGGGACTGTCCCTTTCCGACCACTGTCCTTCTGCAGAGAAGTCAGAGGGAGCCAGGCTTGCCGGGGCTGGCTCGGGGATGCTGTGACTGGGGAAGTCTAAAAGTGAAGGAAATGACCTTCCCGACTAGCTGTC